GTAAGCAGTTACACTCAACAGTTTTTCGCAGCTTCTTTATAAAGTAAATTTTTTACAGCCATAGTCGTTTAAACCCACTAGTGGTTTAATGAAGGCGTCTTCTTTAGAGTTCTCAATTCGGATTGTCATGCCTCTTGCAAATTGACAGCCTCCGGGTAAATCGCTTGATAACTTAAAATAGGACGTCAGGTTGTCTCATCAGTGTAGTTGTTGATGATTTAGAAGTTTTAATAAAGACCACAGGTTTATTGTAACGAGAATGGTAACATTGAAGCTGTTCTATTGAGGTGTGGGTTTATTTTACTTATCGCAACAAAATTGTCGCCAAATTGTGCCACTTTCTTCTTGTTGATGCTCTCTATCAAGGATTCTTCTGGTATTACGCCTTTAAAATTATTGTGCTTAATGCGACGATGGACAGACTGACGTAGCTTTGAGAACGACCTTTCTTTGTTTATTTCCATCGAAACTGTGAAACATCATTTTTTCCATCTTATCATCAACGCTCAATTGCGTTCTCTATATTTGCCTCTAAGATTGTTCATACTAGTCTAATTGGTGTCACCATTTCTCTTCTCTTGGTATTGCAAGAAGAACAATATTTTCCTTGTTTTCATTATTGAAGCTCTACGCTAGAAGTAACCCAATGGCACAGAATGAAGAATCCATCAAGTCACAAACCAAATCTCCGAATTCCCATTTACCTTGCGTCACATGTCCAGACAACTCAATTTCTTCTTTCGACCTCCTCAATTCCTACCGCTCCGCTGCCATCTTTTTGAAAGCCGCTGCCGATAGTCAGAATCCGCGTAAATCGATGACCCTTCCAACTGTAAGCCCACTTCCGACCTCTACTATTAAACAACGATGCCCGTCGCCACCTGATGGGGACAGTGCCTCCTCAGCCGCTGCTGCTGCCGCCTCTCTTATCTCTCGACCTCCCTGCCAACACTCTCCGACAACTAGTTCCAAGATCCAAGCTGCTTTTGTGATGGCTATGGCTGCATCCTCTCCACCATCAACGTGTCCTAGTTCCTCATCCTCTGGTCACCAAGGTGAACACGGGGCCAACGATTTTCGTTCGGACACTCAGTCGTCTCTTGGAGCACTTTTTCGTCCACCTCCCTCTACCGCCTACGAAACTGTGGATAGCGGAGGTAATGGTGCCGGTGACGTGGGCTTCCCACCTCCCGGTTCGGGTGCTCTTCCGTCTTTCGTCCCCTTCACAAACAGCTCGGGTGCCTCACCAGATATCTCGGCTTCCACCTGCCTTACTAATGCCATGCTTCTTCCCGCCAGCATTGTCAACGTTCTTGGTCAACAGGTGAGCTGGTATTGTCGGATCTTTACCCTAGTGTCCCCCTAGTCTGTATAAGGGTCCAACG